TATACACATATATACGTGTATATATATAACTGGTGGCTAATGGCTTCCTGGCAGCTTCACGCTTGATCCTTCTCAATTCATGGAGTTATTTTGCATGTTCTTTTTTCAACATGCTTCTTGTGCCCCTGTTGGCTATTTGCCATGAACCGCTTGATTGTGCAATGATCCCGCTTTAAAAGCTTGGCAATTTCCAAACTGCTGCACCTCTCTGAAAGACATCTGACAACTTTTTTTACTTATCAGAGTCTGTCAAATCTCTTTTCTGACCCATTTTGCCAAAGGAAAGGAAGTTGCCTAATTATTAAGCACACCTTATATAGGGTGTTGATGTCATTAGGTCACAGAACATGCCATGTAAAAAAAATCTATTTATATTTTATTTTATCACATAATGCGATGTAAAAAAAATAATAAAGCTGTACATTAGGCAAAATGATTTTTAAATTGGTTTTGAATTTTCCATCTACTGTTCACTTCTTTTGTTGATTATTGACACAAGACTTTTAACGTCATCAAATTTGGATTAAAATCTTTTAAGACTTCCTAGTATATGGTGGTTCCAGAAAACTGCAAAAAAATTTATTTTCATTTTAATTTTATTGCAAAACGTTCCATTCTTTTTTCTTGTTTCTCGCATATACAGTGCAGCCACACACATACCAGTTATAAACTTATATTTTTTATCCACTCTTAAAGGGAAGACATTAGAGAACAACATAAAAGTAAATGTTTTTCGTTCATGTTGAAGGAGTTTGTACAGACGGGGATTCAGTTCCAGTGGAGGCTGCGGAGATGTTGAGCTCTTTAAGTTTTTCTGAAAGTGAAGTCGTCTCGTCGAGCAGAAGGTCAGAAAGAGGCTCCACAAACTCTGTTCCTGCCACACTTTTTCCAGTGAGAGGATCAACCACCCGACCCACTTTGTACACGATCTCAGAAAGTTCATGCTTCACGTGTTTGGATCTCGCCTCAGGTAGAGCCTTGAGGAGGACGATATCTCCCACAGTGCACTGCTGCAAAGCATCATGGGCAAAGTAGGTCTTTCTTTTGTTGTAGTACTACAAAGAGAAACAACAGATGCATTTATTTACCTTTGATTGCATAGTGATATTCACATATATTCCAGACTTGAAACTAATTTGTTAAGCATAAAACAAGCTCTTTATGAAATCTTAGTAGCTATAAAGCTTTTTATTAAACCAACTTTCCTTTGATTTTGGTCAATTTGATTATTTTCCTGTTTATTAATAAAAACAAAACAAAACCAAGAACTCAAATTATTTTTGTTAAACAAACATCTCAGCAAACATCATGGATTTTGATAAACGTTTTATCAGTTTATTTATTTGAAAAGCATTAAAGGTCAGAATTACAATATCAAGTCAGATCTAAAAAGAACAAAACAACAACTACAATTGGGGAGGCATCAGAAAAGGCCTGATTAGTACTGCTCTGAAATAAAACGCTTCTGTCAAATTTTATAGGATGCAGATTAAGTTTATTGTTTAAAAGAAAAACAAAATGTGTTCTTAACATTTAATAAATGCTAATGGAAATATAAATAACTATATAAAAACAACAGCTAAAGGTAATAATACTGACTCTGTTAATGTTTCCTTCAATGTTGTTGTTTTTTTTACAAGAGTCCGACTCTGGTGGCATCAGTCATCCTCTATGCTGTAGTTTGTTGGCACAGTTGCTCATCTACACTAAGAGGAACAGATTGCTTCCAAAAGACCAGACAGGTAGCAAGGGACTTCAAAAATATGAGATGTAGGATACTCATAGAATGCGGTACATAGGTAAAGGACTAAGAGTGGCATTAACTTTCATTCATTAAAAGGATACAAAGTAAAGGTGGCTGTTATTACTATTGATCCATACAAAGTGGACAAATGCAAAATACAGGGTAAATAAACAAGCGTTTTTATTTTCTATATAGGTAACTGATGGTTGCCTCAAAATTGTAATGAATGAAAATGTAAGATCATTATGCAGCATTTTTCAAAAGTATGTAACAATAAAGCCTTGAGGCAAACAATAAATAACCACCATGATTCTTTTATGTGAAAATCTTAAGCTGAAAGCTTCTTTTGGGTTGTTGATGACTTATATTAAACAAGCTCATCAGTGAGGCCAGTTCTGCTCAGGGATGTGATCACAGGGACACTGGAAAATACCAACACCCTCAACCCATCTATGACGTTACAGAGCTGAAGAGCTCCTCCAGTTGAAAGACGCAGATCTTTCCTCATAGCAGCTGTTAAGGTCACTGCCTACAACAAACTAAATATGATGTTTACATACAGGCTGCTACTTATAGATTTCCTTTTTTTTTGTTAAACCTTTTTGTTTTATGCATTTATACATGCAGATTTTGTACACTTTAAAATTTCCCTAAATGCACATAACATTTGATCTACATGTGCAATTTTAATTAACAGTATTTTTTCTTCTGCTTTAAAACTCATTCCCTTGTTGTTTGCCGATAGTCTTGAATTTCCTCACTGCGAAACCAAAGATTATCTTTTTGACTCCATCTGTTTTGTTTTTTGCACAGGTTTCAGCTCAAACTACTATTTATAGATTTACCTTCAGCAGGTAGGGGTCCAGCACCAGTCTAGTTACTCTAACTTTGGCAGTTTTCTCCATCTTGGTCCCAATTACTTTACCGATGATCCATTTAGCATGGACTGAAGCCTTTTTAGCTGACATTCTGCTCTCTGTCACTCAATCCTGAGAGAGAAAAAGAAAAATATTAACAAACATGACTTTTACCAACACTTTAT